AAAGTCTGTTTTTCCGATCTGCCTAGCTTCGCGGCCGTCAAACTATTCAAAACTTTTCTCGGATGAGTACTATCAATCCAGGTATTTTCCGCAAACGGGCACTATCCATCCGGGTGTTTTCTGCGGGCGGGCACTATGGGCTGATAGTGTCTCTCCACAGATGAACACTATCGCATCACGCGATCAATTTAAACCAATAAGAATTGGAGAAAATTTAGTGGTGAACTATAAAGGGGTATTGGGGTAAAAAAGACGAGAGAGGTTTGGGTCAGGTTGAGAAGTAAACCGACCCAACCCAAGGCCCCGTTTTAGACTTCCGTTTTAGTTCCTGAACGCCTGAAACAACTTTTAGCAGGAAATTATTTAAAGACAGCTAAGCTGTTATGGTGGCGGTTCGAATGTATGTTTATCGTTTTGAAAACTTCCCTTTATTGCGGAATCGTTGCGTTTTTTAAAGAACTAATTCTTCCAAAATTCCAAGATGATTGCCTGATTGTTCTTTACGCGTGTATACTACATAGCCTGTTTGCTCCAATTGCGTTTTCGAAATGAACGCCTTAGCAGGATTCTTCCCATTCTTGTAGCACTGGCTTCAAAACTGGATGGGCGAGCAAATTAATCCTAACTCTGACTCCTATTCCGTTCTAGGCAGCCCGACCGGATTTAGCAGGATTTCTCTCTGGTGACAAAACTTTTCAGTTCTGTCTCTATGGCAGCAACTTTTGAAACATGTTTAGCTGCCCAGTGATAGTGTGTTCGAAATAGCGTATCTTGAAACGAATCGTAAATCTGATGAAAAGCGTTCGTTGATACCTCATCGTAAATCTGATGAGATTATGTATAATAAAGTTAGACATTTCGATTTAGTTGACATCCCAGACATTTCTGTAGTTGCTAGGGGTAACGATCAGCTGACCTTTCTAAAATAAACTATTTCAGTCACATGACTCATGTCACATGACTCACAAAGACCTCTTTGTTTGAAGAATTATAGGCTTCCTGTCGAACTACGGCGTTTTCTTCCTACGCTTTAAAGTTGGTCCTTAAGACTTGAAATCTAGTTGCGGGTCTACTTTCCACAAGAGTACCATACGTTATTTCCAAGGCAAAGTTTCCAACTTGAATTCAGTAAGTTTGCAACGTTAGCAAGTGCAAGTGTACTAAACACTATGTACTAAACATGTCTAAACACATTTGATGACGATTTCATTCGATCCAAGCTAAGACCTCAAATGACTATATATTTTCATGCCAGTGAAATAACAATTAAGTCACCTTGTGTGTTAAAAACAGTTTATTTTAAAAGCATACAGTAGGGGAATTACAGTAGAACTTTACTGCATGAATCCGACCAGAACTCGTCGACCGTTTCTGGCTCGATATGCATTTTTTTTCAGCTTTACCATAGGCTTTTTCTCAGCGCTACCATCGGCCAATTCAAACTCCCCTTTGTCTTTAATGTTTTTCCTTTTCCTTGTTGGTTCAAGTATTCATGTTAGTGCTCGGCAAATGGATAATTTCCTAAAGCACAAGAACAGCCCCCCCCCCACCAGTTAAAATTTCGCGGTAACTCAGTTTCAGTTTCGTTTTCATTGCGGAATTATTCGTCACGCCAACGGCAGGTATTATTTCCACTTCATTTAAATCAGTAAAAACTGTGAAACTGTTCGTGTTTATTTCCACAATGTTAGCCTTCAGTTGTTCAGTTTCAAAATGATGATTAAGTAGATAATTTAATTAGCTCTTTCCCAGAAAGTCTCATAATTGAAATTCGAAAGCTATCTCAATACCGAGAATGACTGTTCAATTGTATGCATGTGGGGAACTAGAAATGATAAGTTTCTAGTATGTATGCCTGTTTATGTTCATCTATTTCGGTCTATATCTAATAGGAAACTTTATTATACTCATATGCAGCCAATAAATTTTAGACAATTGATTACCGGGTCCTTGTACGATCTCCAAAACTTTGTATGTGATCAAAGTAATAATGTACTGAATTCTCGGAAAACCGGCCAACGCTTTACCTGTCGTGTTATAAAAGTTTCCAGATGGAAAATCATTGAGATTAGAGTTAATTTTTATAGTTTGTATTTTCTAAGGGTTTTTGAATAAAAGTCGCCTCATATATTGAAAACAGTAAAACATTAACTTATCAGGCAGTCTAGAAGCGACAGGAAGACTTCTGTTTCTCTTTAAACTAATAATTTTATTTTACCACGCTTCCATCGCGACGGTAGAATCTAGATGAAATTCAATTTTCGACTGAACATCTCGTTCAAGTCTTTTGACATTATTCTATGTTTCTTTCAAACGGTTTTGTCATCATTTTAACTAATTCTTGTAAGATTTTTGTTGCCCTGTACATGCTGTTGATCGAAAATTGTTCGAAGAATAAGAATGACTAGTTAAGTTACTTAATGATCCTCTCAACCAAGCCGCAGCAGTCATTGATAAAGACTTTATACGCGTAGACAAAGAAGACCCAATAGCATTCAATGATAAAATATTCCAAGGGTATTTATACTGAAGGTAATAATGTCAGTGAGTTCTCGAAAAGGATAACGCTTTACCTGTCGTGTTGTTAATTTCCCAGACGGAAAGTCACTGAGATTACGAGTTACTTTTCAAAGTCTTTATCTGGTGAGCGTTTTTAATGCAAATCGCCTCCTATATCGAAGATAGTGCAGAGGAATTATTTGTAGCCGGGGATTATCCTTAGACACGAGTCGTGCGTATTCTTAGTTTTGATGTTCTTTTTCATTCAAGATAAATCCTTATGACATGGATTACAAAATGGTTTAAACAGAAAGCTATCATAGCTGGATGCAGGTTCAGTGTGGATTTACTGCGGTTGAGGAGCAGGAGGAAACAGGTATAGAAATGTTTAGAAAGCAATTAACCAAATCAGTACCTAGTCAAGTGATAGCGGCACACCTAGGCAAACAAACATCAACTCAAATTGTGAAAACTGGAGTCCGAGTGGTTTCTGAGAACACGTTTGCCCAGTCTCTAACAATGGTGGGAGAAGAGGCCATGATAGCTGGAGTCGGTATGGTGTCAAAGGAAATGGTGACCCGAAGTGTTTCAAGTGGTGGACAAGAGGCCGTGAAAACTGGAATTCAAACAGTGACAAAGGAGGTCATCGAGGATACTCTTTCAATAGCGGGAAAAGAGGTCGTGAAAACTACAACAACAAAGGAAGTGTTGACTCAGAGCACATCAAAATCTGCGTCCAATACTGTAGCCTTGGGTGTAGCCTGTGGAGCCGTGATTGAAGGAATCAGCGCATACTATGACATTTCATGCGCGCGCTAAAATATGAAGGAAGGAAAAATAAGCTCAGGCGAATATAACAAATTCATTGGAAAGAGAGTTATGACCGGTTATGGAAGTATTGGGGGATCATCTTTAGGAAAGCTCCTTGGACAAGCTGGTATTCCCATTCCGTTTGTTGGTGGTCTTGTAGGAAGCGTTGTAGGCGGACTTGTGGGATCTGTCACGGCCAACATTACTGCAAATGCTGCTTTAGAATGAAGCCATTCCATTCATGTGTTCGTTCGTAAACTACAATTTGGACGAAGGTCATTTCAGAGTTGCAGTTGATTTCATAACGTTTTCTGGTCCTGTTGCAGCTCAAAACAATTTACCATTTACAGTAACAAGGATTACAAAGTTTAATAGCATTAGAGTTACAGTTTGACAGAACTTTGTTCATATTGTTGAGGTTCGATTTCCTGTAAAAAACTTATTGGTATGTATATTTAATCTAATTCGACTGTAGTGGTACTACAATTCAACGTTTACGAGGATGTTTTGATCGGGAAGAGGACTCGCTTAGTTAGCAGTAGCTTTTTTCTGTGCAGTAGTTAATCGGTGACAAAAGTAATTGTCTTAGCCCAAGTGACAAACCTGTACCTGGTCTCTTAAAATTTAATCAGGAGACTCTTAATATTCCATAGAGCCAGTCGATATGTTATTGTCCAGTATCGCTAACGAACAGTTTGCACAACAACTGACCTTAGTCGAAAGATTTCGTGTTATTTTTAAATTTTTATTTTCTTGATGAATAGAGAAAAGAGGATAGCCACTTTTTTAGGACGCGACTCAAATCATACTTGGTCTTAACGTTTGGATGTTAGAATTTCAAAGCATCCCCAGTGCTTTAGGAAAGCATTTGATTTGTAAAATAAGTGTATCTAGAGAATCATAGAGTGCAAAGGTAGCGATAAACTAAGATTGTTTGTCTCTTGCGTATCTCCATGGTGGATAGATTAAAAGGATGTAAGTATTTGTGGCTGTTATAGTCTGGGGCATCGAGAAGTAATGCGAACAGTAATAATTTTCACGACACAATGGGACCTTTTTCTTAGGCCCCATTGTGGTTCCATTTGGTTCCAACTGAAAAGTGTCTCCGCCTTTGCATCTTCGTCTCCTTATTATGGGATACCCCCCAAGTCAAAGGTTTTCCAATCTCGAGGGTTCCCGGGTCCAATGCATACCTTTCAGTTTTGGAGTATGACGCTAGTTATTGAGCAAAGAAGAAAAAACTTAAATTGTAAATGGCGAGAAGAGCGACAAAAAAACTTCTATAAATATTCATGTTATCTGGTAGTCCCTAATCGGTGATAGAAAAACAAAACCACACCTTTAGCGTGCATTTTATACATATGATGAATGGGGCACGACTCTTTGCAAAAGGCTACATCGATGGAACGCAAACTAAAAACTCGGTACATTTACAAAAGTCCTTGCATTTCTTTCATAAAAAGCGCATACGCATCGTCTTTAGTGCCAGTTTCAGCAACCTTTGGTTGCGAAACTTGTTGCGGTATACTCTCAACAGTCTCTGGGACAGCTCCTGGTGGCCGAAGTTTTGCTTTACTCTTCGGTTGCTCTCGTTTGACTCGTAAAGCAGTAGGTACTAGTTTTGTTAGTTCCGCCTGAGTGTTCCTCAGTTGAGGCTTAGCACTAATTGTTGCTGTTGCTTCTTTGCTGATCGTTGCGCCTGGTAAAAAAAGAAAGAAATATAAGTTGGAGTTCTCATTCTTCTATGGATACTGATGAACGTCTCTAGTCAAAAAAGGATAAGACTTTGTACAGACTTCTTAGGAGTACTGCAGAAGCTCGGCTGACGGCTTCTTGTAAGAAGAATTAACACTTGTTTTTTCCGAAGCAAAATACACAATGTGTATAAGTAGCGACTTAATGTAACATTTAACCGGGAAATTCAGCGTTAAAAAACTAGAGTTAAAAAACTAAAGTCAAAAAAGATGTTTTTTTTTTTAACTATAGTTTTTAATCGCTGAATTTCATGGTTAAATGTTAAAATACACAATATCATATCTATTGAAAACAATGCTCAGTAGCTTTTCTTTGAAAGTCACAAGAGTCTACTACTATCATTCTCATCTGAACAAGTTGCAAATTAGAATGACTTTCAAAACAGTTACATGTTGGCGTACAGTGACATCGCATGAAATTTGAGTACTAACTTGCATTGGGACTCATACCGAGGATTTCAAATTTAAATAACAGCAATTAAACGGATCAAAATATCTGCCAGAAGCTTGAGAGTAACATTCTTTTTCTTGCAAGAGTCACCTCTGAGACTGGTCCTAGGTCATGCTGTTAAAAAAAAGGCCTTTAGAACAATGAATTTATTCCGACCTAAGTTAAAAATATTACATACCTTTTCCAACTTCTCCACCTGGATTGGCCATGGGAGGTTTGCTTATAAACGTTGGGGGTGCAGATAAAACTGCGCCATGTGGAGGAGGGGGCATCATACCAGGGGGAGGGCCAGGAGGTCTTGGCAGGCCAGGTCTCACAGGTGGCATTGGCATTGGCTGTTGCATAAGGGGCCTGGGTCCTCTTGCCATAGCATGTGCCATCATGTTGGGTGGTAACCCTGGGGGTGGACCAGGAGGGACCATGCCAGGCATCCCTGGAGGAGGGCCTGGGGGTCTACCAGGTGGTGGGCCTGGTGGAAACATTCTTGGGGGCGGGGCTCGGATCTGAAAGTTTGGCTGAATTGGTAGACCTCCAGGCTGCTGACTTCCCGGTAGGGGGAGTTGTCCAGGAGGTGGGCCAGGAGGTGGCCCCGGTGGTTGGGGTTGACCTGTTTGTGCCATAGGTTTTCTGGATTGATCTCCTTCATTACCTGCTTCATGCTGTGCAAAGGTATGAAATAAAAGTAATATTGTATCTCTTAAACAAGCAAGATCACAGGTAGTTCGCCATGAGACCTTTCAGTGCAAAAATGAGTAGAGACAGGAAACTCCCTCAAAACCGATAACTTTTTGCAGCAGACTGTTTGCCCTTTAATGTTTGTGTTTAGCATAATGTTATCCTGAACAAGAACCAACAGTTTTAACACTGAAAGAAAATATCAATCACATCAAGAATGGAAACAAAAAAGGAAAAAGAGAAAAGCCCATGAGGAAACAGAAACAGAAAATTTCTTGAAGTGTGTTCTTGTTAACAGCAGAGGAGTTCTTAATTCAAATTAAAACTACTTACTGGTTTATCAGGAAGAGGTTGGCCTGCCATTTTAAGAAGAAAATCCTGTATTGAAGTGGTACCAGCAGTTTTTGAGGACTGGCTCTCACCTCCACTATTTTCAACTTCATCTGCAAACCTCACAGTTCTCTGACGCTCTCCCATTTCTGCAACCAGAAAAAACATATAACTTTACTCAGTCATAACTTTAACATTTTACTAAAAATTAAGTTTCTTTCTTTCACCCCCTACATGTAAATCTTTCTAATAGTGCTTTTATGAGCCAATAAATATGATTTTTGTCAGTTGGGGGGAGGAGAATATGGTAAAAAGTTAGGATCCAAATGGGCCTATAGAATCAAGATTTGTGAGTTTGCAGGTTTTTAGCAGCACCACTGTCAACTTATAAATCAAGCAAAACATGGTGAACCCACCCAGCTAAAAAAAAAAAATTGTTTCCATAAGCAAGCCCCACATGATGGCTGCACATCCATCCGAGCAGAAATTTTATGGCCTCGTTTTTCAAACTTTACGGTTAATGTAGCATTATGCAGTTAATGTTGATCAGATGAGAACCAATAAAAATCAATCACAGTAAGACATCGTTAGAAGCTACTCTGGTTTAATAAAGAGTTGATGAATGTAACCATGAATTACAATTAATTGACCCAACATTTTGACACTCCTGTCTGGTGCCTTCATCAGGGGATGGAAGTAGTTGGAGCTACGATTTAAGCCTTTGCTTAGACAATATATTGTCAAAAACCTTTATCTCCTTCACTGTCATCCATGTCATCATCTCTGCTGTTTCTTCTGTCTCCAAGTGGTTGGCCATCTCCAGCATCTCCCTCCAATCTTCCGAGTGGAACTGCAGGGTCATACTCTTCTTCCTCACCACCTGATTCACTGGTGCTCTCTTCACTGTCATCATCGTCATATGGACCACTTTCCATATCTTCAGGTGCTACTCCAGGGGGGAGGGGTGGGGGAGCACTCATGGGTGGCATACCTGGTGGGGGTCCTGGTGGGGGACCAGGAGGAATTATTCCAGTGGAGCGTTTTGGTGGAGGCCCGGGAGGAGGACCTGGGGGGATCAAACCTGGAGGAAGGGGCCTGAAGAAGGTAAAAAACAAGGATGTTTAAATGGTAAGGAACCTAAAAAGCTCATTAAAATCTTTCAGCATGCGGACTCACAGCTGTTAAGTTTGTGGTATTTGCTAGTTATTGTACTGTTGATTACTGCTTCTGGGGAGTCTGTCAAGGGGTTAAATGTAGCACACACTTGTTATAAGTACAACACAGGCTTAGCCAACAAAGTTAAGTGGGAAATTGGCCACCGTAACGATTACAAAAGCTGACGTTTCGAGTGTTAGCCCTTCATCGGAGTGAAGACAAAGGCTTAGCCAAGACCACTTTGTTCAGAGTTTTGATTATAAACCCTATTTGACCTCTGTACCTTACTAGGGGCTGAAAAGTATAACTACTACAATACTAGCACAATCCCCACAAGTAAACTTCTTCGTGGTAGATCACAAAAAAAAATTTCAATACATATAGCTCATTAATCAAGCGCCAGGGCCGTACTGGGAGAATATTGGCCCAAGGTCTTGACAGTACGGACCGAGCGCAGCGAGGTCTGTACAAAAAAGACCGAGGGCTGATATTCTTCCAGTACGGTCCTGAGCAAGCTTGGTTAATAAGAGATTTATTATACGACTGAAGTTCAAAGGTACACAAGTGCGGTATAATTCGGGACCATTCGGGACAGTACCTGGTCCAATACTGAGAGAATATTGACCAGCAATAGAGCATTTTGATTGGTTGATTTTAGTTATTGGCCCTCTGACTGCCCGAGTTGTGTAACAAGTACATGTATACCACATAAAAATATACAATGATGATCAGCCACTCACAGTTGTCCAGGTAATGGACCAGGAAGAGGGATGTCACTTGGCATTAACATTCCTAAGGGTTGTGAACAAGTTGAAAGTTGGTGAGTGCTACAGAGATGACTAAAAAAAAAAAACAAATCAGTGCGTGCCCCTAAAATTATACTGCACAGAGCCATACATCCGATGAACAGTACCTCTCTCATCCCTCAGGGGAAAAAATAAGATAAATGGTAAACACACAGGTACTCATTACCCAACAGTATCCACGTAAAAATAAGTAACAAAATAAAATCCACTGTTATCTTCTCACCTCAAACTCATTTGAAAAACTGACTTAGGAATAAATAGAGAGGATTTGCATACCATACCTGCATGGGGAAGAGGGATGTTTGGTGGTAGAGGGATGTCTGGAGGTATTCTTGCTTCCTGGAAGATAACAGAGTAATGTGCATGCATCACATAAAGGGAAATGTGAAGAAAATTCTTGCATTGCTAATGGTGCTTTTCAAAACTCTTTTATCCTAGGCACACAAATTTGAATCTTAGATATCTTACAGTTATGCTGTCTTTCTCTATACTTCACACCAAATCCTTTGTTGTTTTTAGCTCATGTTAGTGTCCTTCATCATCCTTATTCGCTTTGTTTTATCACCCTCCACGAGTGTTTTAGACAGGGGTGAACCCAGAAAATAAAGGAAGACCTTATGAGAATAGAGACTCCTCCTACCCCACAAGAAACAAATACACATTTCAAAGACCATTGGTTGGTAAGCACTTTTCAGAACAGAAAAGAGACATGAACTGACCTGCTTCTGTCCCTCTAAAATCTGCCAATGTTCAACATTGCACTAACAATTTGCTTACAGTAATCTCAAGGTAAATTCTAGACTCATTTGTACATGGGAAAATGTCTATATGTATTCTAAAACAAAATAACCTTTTTGTTGTGAAATCAGACAGACACTCACACCTACCTCTGCTAGAACTTTTTGTCGTATTTCTGAAAATGATTATAAATGATGTTTTACTGGCAAATACATGTACCGGTACATGTAGCTAAAGATCTTAAGGTAGATATGAGCTATCAAGGGTAATCAGTTGAGGGCCATTTTGCTAAAATGATGGACATGTTTACGGTTCTAGTGTTATGTCTATCTCAAAATTATGACTGGTTTTCTTTAAATGCACTTGAGCATTTCAAGGTTTTTTTCTTAATTTCTTGTAGGAAATGCTGAGATGTGGCCTTTAGTAAGATCACAGATGCAGCAGTTTGCCATTTGCAGGATTGTTAAAAAGATATAGAATGACTGGACTGTGATTCAAAGTAGGCAACACAACATTATGCTTATGAGCTGAAAATTTGAGCACAAGCATTCTGAGTAGCCAGCAAATTTACCAAAGTGGATGTAAATATGTGCTGATTGCCAGCTTAATTTGAAAACCCTCCATTTGTACTTCCCTTTCTTTTTTTTTTTTTTTCTGAATGAGAATTTTAAAACCCAAAGGCTGTCACAGAGAAACTGATTAGCCTGTTTGCAGTTAAATAAAATTCAGGAAATTTGAAAGCCTGAGCTAACATACAGTATATGCATGCTCATGTGAAAGCAAAAAATTGATAAAATGTACTTTGGCAGGCAAAGAAACCCTCTTCAAGTTTCCTGGTATCAAATTAATATAAATTATAGTTTATAAATCAGGGATAAAAAACTTATCCACACTACCATGAGCAGACAATTGAGCTTGTAACCGCTTCCTCTCACTATCAGCAATCAATCTGAAAGACAGGTTTTTATATGTATCTTATTAACCAAGTGCGAGGGCCATACTGGGAGAATATTGGCCCGAGATCTTGACAGTACGGACTGAGCGCAGCGAGGTCCGTACAAAAAAGAATGAGGGCCAATATTCTTCCGGTACGGTCCCGAGCAAGCTTGGTTAATAGGATATTTATTATACAACTGAAGTTCAAAGGGACACAAGTGCGGTATCATTCGGGACCATTCGGGACAGTGCCAGGTCCAATACTGAGAGAATATTGACCAGCAATAGAGCATTTTGATAGGTTGATTTTAGTTATTGGCCTTCTGACTGCCCGAGTGGTGTAATATTAATGTAATATTACTTCACATAAGATCTTAAATGCAGTTTCATAGGATGCTCTTGGTAAGATGATACAAGGTTGTGCTCTAAGAAAAATTGAAGGGAGCCCAGTGCTCTGAAACTATGAAATCCAGGGTGCCCAGCATATGCTTTTTATTAAAAAACAAAGATTCCCGAGTCGCCCAAGAGCAAAAGAAAGGCACCAGGGGCCACCGGGCGCTGCTGGAGCACAGCCCTGATAACAGAGGGCAGCATATAATTGCAACAGATTGCAGGACATTTTAAGGTGTCCTTAGAGGTGGCTCAATAACTTCTGCTGCATTATGTGCCTGACCTGGCCTTACTGACGTGACTTGACTATCAGTAAAATTTTTACTTCCTTATTCAATGGCAAAAGCATTCAATAATTGCACTACTGTATCACTAGATTAAAGCAGAAAAGCACACTCTTATTGAAAGAAGTGGATTCAAGTTATCTGTAAACTGCTTAAATGTACATTTTTCATCATCTATCTCTTAGTATCATAACCGAATGGACACAAGACATGCTGGAGGTTATTCTTTTTACACAGTTAAGAAATGTAAAATTTGCCAATTTGATATCATATCATGATATTCTATGCATGACGTCATCATCACATTGCAGATTGGCTGATCATAACTTATTTCAATGCATGTTGCTGTTTTTTTAATACTTACTGTCTCATTTGTCCTGAATGAGATGGATCATCTTTCTCCTGCAAAAATTAATTAAGAGTAAATAAAAAACACTTGTCTGAGGAAACAGAAACCTTTTAACCTTCTAACCCCTTAAATTGACCAACATCTAATTTCTCCCTACAATATCACCCCTGAATCACACATTTAAGGTCACGAGAATAAAGGAAATGATCAACAACTAAAGAAGCTCTTGATTGTTAAACAAATTCTCCTTGTCAGCAGCTTAGAAAATGTAAGGAGACCAGTATGGAGAATATACATACTGATGTTAGGATACAAAGAATATACACATTTAAGGTTAAAATGTGAGTAGTCCGGTGGTCAGTGTGCTGGACTCTGGGTCAGTTGGCCCGGGTTCAAGTCCTGGCTGGGGCATGATGTTGTGTCCATAAGCAAGACACTTCACTCACATTGCTTCGTCTTCTCGGATAAGACATAAAGCAATAGGTCCCGTCTCCTGCAGGGTTAGGGGTAGGAGACGTAAATTTCCCATGCACGATTTCTATATGGACTGAAGTGGCTGCCAGAGGCGCCTGATAAAAATGCTGACGTCCAATCTCAACCTTATGATACTATTAAATGCGACTGAATATATCCACATAGAAGTCTGCGCTATATAAATGTAAAAATGTAAATGTAAAATAATCCCAAAACAAATTGCAGAAAGACTCACATATAGTTTAAGCATTCTGTCCAGTGTTTCCTTGAGCTTTCTTTTCTTCTCTTTGAGTGCCTTGTCATTGGGAAGTGGGACCGGCCCAGCATCAATTTCTAATGATATGAAGTTGTAATTAATTGCTCTTCCTGTGTTTAAAGAGAAACCTTAAGGCGAGCTAATAAACTAAAATACAAATGTTGATATTACTTAAAATCAGTTCTGGAAAGTACCAAGTACAAAAATGTTACATAGTACCCATGGTTTCAATTTTCTCAATTTCTTCTAATATCCTTTGAGGGTCCTTGGATTTTAACACAGCTTCCCGTACCATCTTCCGCTGCTTCTTATTCTAGTAAATGAAGGAAAAAAAATAAATGAATCATTTCCTGTCTAAGTTTTAGGATTTGAAACCTTAAGGTCTCCGGTATAAATGACTGCTATAGTACTCAAAGAAATTAAAAATGTATCTGAACTTGAGGGTGCGGCAGAGAGGACATCAGAACATAAGTACCAGGCTAGAACGAAACACAAATAGTTTGGTATGGATTTTGAAAATTTTAATTGGCACATTTTGAACACGTGTAGAAGTGAAACACTCTCTGGTATATATACTGTATAAGTGTTTATTAAAACACACACGTATACAAATAATCACGTACAGATTTAAACATACAAAAAGTTCAGCTCATGAAAGGTATTGATATATCTCTTTATATGTCAAAATAATTTTTCTACGTAACCATGATTGGCAATACTGTTGGTCAATAGGCCATTTTCCATTTTACAGTTGTGTACTAAGTTGCCAAGCTTTTGATTCAGAGTGAGGCTAAAGGCGACTTTGTCGTGATAGAGGCCTGTATCTAGTTAGCATGATAACAAAGTGATTTACATTTGAAAGGCAGCAAAGTCTGGGCAAGTAATTCATGGCAGTCTCCATATAGACTCCCTGTTACCCAGTCTCCATATAGACTCCCTGTTACCCATTCTCCCTGTGTACCCTGTGTACCCTGTGTACCCTCCCTGTGTACCCATGTGTACCCATGTGTACCCTGTGTACCCGTGTGTACCCTGTGTACCCGTGTGTACCGGTGTGTACCCTGTGTACCCTGTGTACCCGTGTGTACTGTGTACCCTTTGTACCCTGTGTACCCGTGTGTACACGTGTGTACACTGTGTACCCGTACAGGGTACACACGGGTACACAGGGTACACAGGGTACACACGGGTACACAGGGTACACAGGGTACACAGGGAGAATGGGTAACAGGGAGTCTATATGGAGACTGGGTAACAGGGAGTCTTTATGGAGACTGCCATGAATTACTTGCCAAGGTCTGTATCATTACAAGGTCACCCCTAGCCTCACTCCCATTCAAAGGCTTGGCAACCAAGCACACAACTGTAAAATGGACTATTTGCAGTTTTCGATTGGAGTACAGACAATGCTGCTCATGTCAACATGTCATGCAATGTGTCACACACTAAAATAATTTTATTTGATGTTAATATTGCGGTAAAAAACAAATCAATAGTGGTCTAGCATGGTCTGTACTCTTATCAACAACGATATTCTTCATCACAGTGGTCAAAGTTGTTGCAGACTTACTCCCCTGCACCTTATGAGTCTACAAAATTTCAACTACTATGATGACAGACCACGCTGAACCACTGTTCATTTGTCAAGTGGAAAGAAAAGTCAAACAATCAAGATGTACTATGAAAAAATGGTTATTCGAAAAAACAAAACAAAAAACAAAAAAAAAACTAAAAACCAGCTCATTTCTCACAAATTTTAAAACACATACAACTGTTTTGAGAGGAAAATATAACAAACTCCGGTAAGTTAAATTTATATGTTATTTGGTGACTCGAAAATGAGTAGTCCTATAAGCTACTTTGGTTAGACCTCTCAATCGAAATTTGTCATGTAATAGATATTCATATTTCTTCAGCTCTGGCATCACAAGCTGTTATATTAATCAAAAGTACCTTCTTCAACTCTCTTTTTCTTGCTTCTTTCCCTATAAAAGATAACCAAATCTACTTAGTGATTCGATAGTACGATGAAAGCTGCAAAACTGAACGTGACAGAAACGGTGTGGAGATGAAGGTATATGTTTAGCATGCTTACTTGCTTGATCAGTGGGGTTCATAAACTTCCCACTCTTTGTCGTTGAAATCGACCGCCTCCCCATCTTGAACCAAAGAAAATACCCCAAGTAGTTAGGTAAATGAAAGAGTGATCAAATGCAATCAAACAACATGGCGTCCCCGGAGGCTGTGCGACCGCGTCTGGGTAGAATAGCAGCCATAGCCTTCAGCACTAATTTACTTTTTAAGTAGGGTAGGGTAGGAGGTTTTTTCAAAAATAAAAATTGTTTTCAAGTTTAGAAACTTTTTCCTTTTCTTGTTGTTGGTATTATTTTTACAATACACAAGTTAAATAACGAGAAAAATTTAAATTTAATCCAAAATTTGGATTCATGATCTATTCAATTTTACTACTTTGATAATACCCTACCCTGGTAGGGAAATAATACTCTGTCGTTTCATATTGGCCGTGCATCCGTGTGGTTTCTTTGTTTTTTAATAATTCTTCCAATTTCCTTAAGTACTCATCAAATGTCTCTTTAATTGATTCTTCCTGCTTGTAAATGATCTAGGCTTAGTCAAACACCTGTCTTTTTGGCGGGCAAAGCAACAAATCTACTCATCACTTGTCAAAGGTCAAATAACAATCTGAGCGACTTACAGCAAATATGGAAAGCTTTCAAAACGCTTAAAGATTCATTGTTGGTGGCATTTTAGGCTTCAAAACTAACGTATGTTGTCTTAAAAGAAGACTGAACGATGTCGTACAATGCGATGTAATCTCCAGTCTGTACAATGAATGACTTAGAAGGAAGATCTACCAGGAGTTTGGAGCGACAGAGAAGCAAAGCTACGTTCTCCCAAGGATGCACTGCAGTAGTGAAGAGTGGATATTTGTGGAAGATTTCTCATTATCCTGGGAGAACTTCAACCCGAAGCAGATACTTTGTGCTAACCAAGAGCTCCCTTGATCATTTCAGAAACCATAACAGGGTAAAAGAACAACACATGACCTAATGTATTGTATAAACTTCACAGATGTTCTCGTGCATTTTCACCGAATTTCCGGAAAGATTTACGCATAACCCAATTCTGTTCCAGAACAAGTCGTAAAGTTGATCTATTTTTTTTCGCGTTTTTTTTTTCTTTTAAGAACTGCATGCGTAATGATAATCAGGGCTCTACGAATTTTCAGTACATTGCATAATCTTGATAAAGATCAGATCAATTTATAGGAATGATAATCGATGGAAAACGAAATGCTAGGAGTGGAGAGAGATTGATGAAGGCCCATTTTGGAAAATTCTGTGAACTGTGGAAGAGGGTGAATTTGACTCATTTTGTTAACCCTATGTACTGTAAATCCTTAAATAAGCCACCCCCCTCTAATAAGCCCCCCTTTTTAAAGGAAGAAATTTATTAAGCCTCCCCACCCCTTCCCCTTAAAACAAAAAATTCAAAATAACACTCCATGTTAGTAAGTACTTTCAATAGGTTTATTCAAGTACTGAGATTTTAGTTTGTCATTTAAAATTGATTGTGGTGATTGATTGATTGATGTGATCATGTTGGTATTAATAGAATATGGTATAAGGAAATTGCAGAGCAATGCTAAAAATATAACATAGCTAAACTAGGTCCATTGTGAGAGTTAGATTATAAACTGAGTTCTTTATTGAGTTCTAATTTAATAAGCCCCCCCTCTAGTAAGCCACCCCTCCCCCCCAAAGTACCTGAAATAAATAGTCTCCAGGGTGCTTATTAGAGGATTTCTGGTATGCATGTTCTCCATACTGTTCTCAATACATTTCCTAAAGTGCCGATAAGGAGAATTTGTTTGCAAATCAAAAACTTGTTATGGTGATCAATTCCTTTACTCTCATGACCTTAATGTGTGATTTAGGGGTGATATTGAAGGGAGAATTTAGATGCCAGTCATTCCTAAGGATTAAAGGGTTAAAAGGAGGAAGAAATCTTTCTAGTTCACCTTACTTTGACTACAGGAATATGTGTGAGGTTTACCTCGGCTATCGGCAAAGCTCTTTAGAAGTTCTGAATAGTAATAATCAAATGATGATCCTCTCTAATCAGGAAAAACTCAAGGGAAGTCTTCCATTGGCTGCTATAGATGCTGTGGAGAAACTGCAAGAAGTTAACAACTCCTTAAAAATCACAGGCCCCTTTAAACACCCATTGATTTTACAAGCATCTGGAAGAGAAGAATGTGAAGAATGGATAAAGGCAATTGAAAATGGTAAAACAACACTTAAAAATAGAGCAGATTTTGTATGGCCTTACCAGTGAAGTGTTGCATTCCCCTTAGAGCAACCCACCCATTTTTTTAAAAGAAAAATTCAAGGATCTATTTTTTTTATCCAAATGTTGATGTTGAAGTTAATAATTACAAGACTTGATTTTAAATTTAAAGTGTTTCTAACTAATTTTTTTTAGTTTTTTTTTTTAGTGTGCTTATTATGTTGGAAACATTTGGGTTTTACTTTTTGCAAACTCAGGCTGTCTCTGTCAATTTTGTTTTTTCCTTTTTGTCTGTTTCTTTCCCTGTCAACCAACCAGCCACTTTCATAAGAGCAAAGGCTGCCAATCATGTAATTGAGAACATTTTCTATACAAAGCTGCGAGATAGAGAGTTGACAAATAGCTTTAATTTTTAATTTTGTGACAAATATTATTTTTCCCTAGGAATTCAACAGTGGTGTTTAGATTCTGATGCCAACTCGTCTTTGCAGAAGGGAGATGAAATAGATAATTTACAAAGTTCTTTGAATGCAGCACCCAAGATGAAGGTACTTGGACATCTGTCTGTACTGACTATAGCCAAAGGGTTAAATAAACTCAGAATCCAACTCTATTTGAACAAAAAAATTCACCTTAAGTTAGCAGTTACACCCTCTTCAAGCCACAAGAACCTGAAAATCTACATGCTTATACATTTAACATGTATAAGGAATGCTTATAATCTCTATAACTAATATGACAACTATAATAATGAAAAGTCATCAAAAAGTCATTCCAAAGAATATTTATTATTGATCATATCTATTTCTTGATTCCTTTTTCCTTTTTCCTTTTTTTTTTTTTTTGTTGTTGTAGATGCTGTATCCTTCTTTGTTTTGTCCTGTTGGTGATGGAGTGTTGATTTCAGGTGGATAATATTATTATTATGTTTGCTGATAACATGTACCAGTAGACATTGACTTATATCATCACATCTCACAATGTTATTGGTTAACAGGTTATTTTGTATCTTAGAATCAATATCTGATATTTAACAATTGGTTCATGCTTTCAGCTGTGCACTATCGAGTTATGGAGCACGTGGGAAGTTTGGAGAGCACGAAAGAAGCGTGAGAGTTGCCCTTGGCTATTGCCAAGGGCAACTCTAGCTTCTTTCGTGCTCTCCAAACTTCCCACGTGCTCCATAACTCGATAGTGCACAGCTGAAAGCATGAACCAATTGTTAAATATCAGATATTGATTCTAAGATACAAAATAACCTGTTAACCAATAACATTGTGAGATGTGATGATATAAGTCAATGTCTACTGGTACATGTTATCAGCAAACATAATAATAATATTATCCACCTGAAATCAACACTCCATCACCAACAGGACAAAACAAAGAAGGATACAGCATCTACAACAACAAAAAAAAAAA